TGGTACGCCTTGCTGCAGCCGTACTAAGTCATCGGTGCTTCCTGCAATCGTTCCTACCGACGACCTCGAAGTTCGCACTTGCGTGTCTGCATTTACGGTGGCACTGGCCATCTTAGGAAGGCCGTCCGATGCATTGACACAAGGAGAGAAAAAAGGAATAAGAAGAGGAACACGTCTGGGTGTTGAAAGATACGCTGTCCTCTATGATGGGGTACCGCGTTGCCCCCTCCAAAAGTATCTTTCGAGGAAATATATAGATGTACATATATCGCGGAAATCAAAGCATGTTCAAAGAACGTTCCGTGTTATTTAATTGCGGCCACATGCACGTGTAGATAGGATAATAACGAAGATCGATGAAATCCGATTGAAACGAAACAAAATGACACGGTGGCAAAGTAAAGCCGCGTGTAGTATATCGCATATAGTAATTCAGTTGCGACGATTGCTGATACATACTTGGAGACAAGTAGAGGCGCGTGCACGAATTTATGTGTGTATCGCGTATATTTAGGCATACATATACATGAAATAGCACTCTCGACGGACGTGGGATACCATATCGGGTACCTTGTTGACCTCGCCTCTCTTCTCTGTCTCTCGTTCTTGTTCTCTTTCGATCGTCAGAGCGCAAACTTAAGTACGTGCTCTCCGACGATCTCTGCTCTCCTCTCTTCCCACGTCTTTCACTACCGACAAAAGAAGTTTCGACCGCCGCCAATGTCGCTTCTCGGACGTTCGTCACCGAAAAGAGAATTCAACGCGGACCGCGAACACGCCGTGTTTGCGATTCAAATTCACGGATGATCACGGTCCGCAGGCCCACGTTCCCGTAAAATTGATTCAACTTTACGATCATAGGCGGAAAACGATGCTACGCTGTTCCTAAATCATTGCTCGGCATTGATAATGGAATGTAGTGGGCACGTGTGCGATTTACCTCGACATTTCTGAATCATTCCTTGATCGTGTGCTTTTTTAGAGAAAGCGTATATCGACAGAGAGGCCATCTCGAAATCTCCATGTATAGGCTTGTTCGGTAGGAATAACAGGCCTAAGTCTTCCCGACTTATTCTGTCTCGTAATGATCTACGACGCGATCAATGAAATTATCGTTGATCAATATCTAAGCCAAAATGCGATCTTTATTAATCGATCGTCTTACGTACATATTTTTACTCAATGCCATCGTTAGTTCCTTGTCTAATTTTATTTTGTTGCTTACTGATACTTCGACTCAACATCAATTTTCAGACAAAGCTTCGAACAATATCTTTTGCTTTAATCTCTGCGCCACGGGCACGAGGATACGAAGTTGCTAGTTTCGTCACGTTCGTCTTCTGTGAAAGTCGGAATAGAATACTCTGAACGTCCTTGTGCACGAAACAAAATGTCGATCTCTCATTTGCTTTTTGTCGCGCAGATCGACAGAATTCCTAGAGAACATAAACATATTTATCAACGATAAATCGTACTTTACGAATAATATGTCTCAACTAGTTTCGCGTTAATATACATACATGCATATGTATACCGTATATCGTTTAACATATTTCCTATAGTTGTTGCAAACGATTCAGAAACGTTCGGTTAATACATCGATACGAGTTAATTGCGGTTACCTTGTCGCAACGTGGTCATGGCCCCTGACTGGTTGTTGGATTATAGTGGTCAGGATCGCCCCCCTCCCCCCACTCTACTTTTACCATTCTATGACAATTCTCGATATTTTTGAAATTTAAAATCTCGACTGCTCCAACATTTTTGAGAATAAATCTTTCTCTACTGCCAGAAAGAAAATGTCTACTTTACGGCTTTCAATTACGCAACATTAGTAACTATGTAAGTATAAAGTATACGTATGTAAAATAGTGGCTACGTATAAATATTTATGTGTTGCGTTTATCTATTCATGTATTTATAGTACATTTTGTAGTAAAAAAAAAAAAAACGTTATCCAATATTAATTTACCATATAAAAGATCAATGCAAGAAATCGACAAACAATACTGAATAATTTAAAAATGTTATACACGATTAAAAATTCTTTCATTATTTATTATGCAAGGAATCATTTAACATTGTGCAATACGAAAGTATTCACTTGAATAACGCGTGCTCTGTTGAACTTGTAAAAACAATGAAGAACTTATAAATCGAAAAGAGTAGAATGTCAATGTCTTGAATAAGTATTAATTAAATAGGCAAATTTCGGTGAGAACGATGTTTCTCGTTGAAAGAAAAAAAATAATACGATCGCATTTGACAGGTGCTTGTCTTCTAGACTAATGAAAGGAATCGTAGGGAAGGAAAGTCGCGTAAATATGTACGATACATAAAACATTTCTCTCACCTTTTATTTTCATTTAAACAACGAGTTGACTGACGAATAAATGGTCCGTAGTTTGATCGGCATCTCGATCGCAGTAACACGCGGTTCACGCACACTTTTTTCGTCAAGCACCGATTCGCGGAAACTGCGTTTCAGGAGCGCGCGACTGACCGCCACCTTGCTGCGAAACGATTTACCGCGCATGCGTACTTTCCCTTCGCTCGATCCAACTTACTCATCTTCGTCATTCTCTGGATGAAGATACCGAGTACTTTCCAATTTGCATTCTTTTTTCGTTCCATCCATCCTCTTTTATCAAACTGCACATTCTTCAATTTAATTCTAACTATCATTTATTTTTTCCTCATCTTGGCAATTATTATTTGTTCATTTAATTAACAGCTAGTCGTAAATCCGTTATGTCTAACCGCAGTTAAATATATTTAAGAGTTGCATAGTTTTCAAAGTCTAAAAAGTATTTCGTAAAATATATACATGTGTACAATATATAAATAAAGTTATATTATTATACTGTAAATATACAGGAATCGTTCGATTCGTTCACTGATACAATCAATTAAGTCAGTAAACTGATAACTTAATTACTCTGTTGATGAATTTAATCATTAGTACGATATCGTTTAAAAGCGTTGATGGAAATTTGATGGCTGCGTTGGTTGCGCCGTAGAATAAACCATTCCAGGAGGCTGTTGATGGGTCATCGCGTGACTTTGATGTTGATGAAATTCTGGAGCCCCATGAGGACCATTTAGTCTCACCCGTTTTGCATTTTGTCCATGATTGTGATCGCCGTTTCCTTGTTGTTGTTGATTTTGTTGCTAAAATTTTACAAAAATTTGTAAAAAGAGAAATTAATTATACGAATGACTACAAACATTACAAAATCACTACAAACTCACAGTTTGTTGTTGATTTTGCCGTGCTTTGTTTTCAGTTTTTTCTTCTGTATCATCATCTGTTAGGAATTCTCGTTTAGGATATGGAATAGGACAACCGGCAAATATGCTATAACATTATTTAATTAGATTAATTTTTGATTTATCAATAATTCGTCATATAAATTGTTAATAACATACTCTTGAGTGGGCAATGGTTCCTCTTGAAAGTAAGCATCTTGCATAGAATGTTCGGAAGTTATTCGTTTATTTGGATCCATCATTAACAGTTTTTGAAGCTAGAATAATTAAATTAATATCATTATTCGTTAAAAAAGATTGAAATATTTTACTTAGCCATACCAAATTAAATGCTTTGCTATCAGGTTTAATTTTATGCCGATCCATATATTTGGTAAGAGAACAATTTGCATAGCTGTAAAGTAATTTATATTTATATTAAAACTAAATTACAAATTCTTATATTTCATTTTCATTTTTTAGAAGATACTAACTTTGATCTTTTAAAGTCTTTTAACAGTGTAGGGTGTTCTGGCATTTTCTTAATATCTTCCCAATCTTTTTCCAAAGGAAATCCCATCACATTGAATATCCTAAAAAAATTTTTGTTTCATCTTTTACATTACTGAGATACTAGAGATAATATATTAGATAAAATTTTTACCTATCTAATTGATCATGATGATATGGATTGCTAGTTTTAATATCTTCTTGTCTACAATGAAATATAGGTTCAGAAGTTAAAAGCTCTGCAAATATACAACCAATTGCCCAGATATCTGAAATAACAGAAAGAAAATACTTGAAAGTAAAAAATGCATAAAATAATCCTAATTTTTAAATATGTACAAAATACCTATAGCTTTTGTATAATGTCTAGCACCTAAAAGTAATTCTGGTGCTCTATACCAAAATGTCACTACAACTGGATCTAAATCTGCAAGAGGCTTTAATGGAGCATTGAATAATCTAGCAAAACCCATGTCTGCAATTTTTACACGTCCCCTTTCATTTCCTTCTCCCATTACTAAGATATTTGCTGGTTTCTAAATTATAATATATTAAATTAATCATACATCAGATATTAGATGCATATGCATAATATTTGTATATATAGTGATGAATTACCAAATCTCTATGAAGCACCCAATTGGAATGTAAATAATGAATACCATCTAGAATTTGATATAATAAAGATTTTACCATACCCTTTGGTACCATGACAGGTTTTTTATTAGCTTTTGCTGCTCTATGAAACTTTATTATATGCTATAGATTGAAATAAAAACATATAAAGTTTTATTTAATAAAGTATATTATTTAATGTTTTTAATAAACATACCCATAAATCATGTTCAGCAAAGTCAAATAATAACCATACTTTGCGATCAATGTGTGACAGAAAAACTCTAATTAATGTAATCACATTTACATGTTTTAGTTCCCTAAGTAACTATAGGAAGAATGAAAAGTTTCTTAGTGCAAAAAGAATGCTTATATTTTTATACATAATACATATTTAAAAAAAAAAAAACAAAATTGATACTTACTGCAATTTCTCGACATGCAGACATTGAAAGGCCTGTACCTTCAATTTGTTTTAGGCCAAAATCCTTTGTATCTGGCCTAGATTTTAATTCACTATCTGGTACTCTATTTAAACGTCAAGTATAATATTATAATCGCAGAAAGTGAGAAGGATAAAATGAAAAGAATTTGCATCTTGTACATGTATTTCATATAATACGCTTAATATTTAAAACGATTAAAATAAATTATTGGATATATTAGATGTAGAAAATTCTAAAAACCATACAAAATATGTATAGGTATTAGTTTTATTTAAACATTAAAATAAAAACTACAATCTTCCAATGACAAAAAAATATTTTCTGCAGATTTATACAATTTATGAAAGAATAAAGATTACTTAATAAATAACTAAGATAAATACTAGACAATCTTCTATGTTAGGTTAGAAACACTAACCCTTCCTTTCTGCGTGCTTTATAGACATGTCCATAAGTTCCTCTCCCAACTTTACATCCTTCAAATTCAAAAAGGTCTTCCACTTTTGTTCGATCTGTATCAGTTTTTAGTTTAAATTCATAATCCATGATCTTTAATATTACTGGAACAATTATCAACTATAAACAAACATTTTTAATGTGTACTTGGAGAGAGAAAGAGAGCGATCAACCTTTGCGTATACTACCTTGATCACTTCATCAGGCACCTACTCCTTTAATGGCAACATTACTTTTTATAGAAATCTACATTATGCAGTATTAGAGATTAATAAATCAATATGTATTTACAATATATCAAAGATCAAGTAGATTACTTGTATTTAAATAAATCTTGTGAAAGTGGAATAATTAGAAATGCGGTATAAAGTAACACAGATATATACATATATAGGATTACTAAGTTCATGCATGAAAACAAGCCTTGTGTGGTACAGTTATGATAACATGAGTATGTATTATTGTCGTAAGCAATAAGTAATCGACAGAAATTTATTTGTTATAACATTAAAATGCCTGCAACCGCTTTACATAAATTTATAACGTTCATAGGATTAATGTCGATATTACATACAGCTTATTCAGCTGCCCAGCGTACGTACTACATTTGTGATTAAAATTTCTCGAGCGAACATGCTTTCTTAATATTTTTTAGGTTAAGTTGTTTGAATTTTAAACTATTTTTGTGAAATATAATTTACAGATCGTTCGTATTTACGAATAACAGAACAAGAATTCATTGCCTTACCAATTGATGTACGTATAAAATATTTACAAACGATAGCATACAAAATATTTACAAAACGTAAAAAAATTGGTTATGTTTTTGTTATAGATTTTAATACAGGGTATTATCAGTTTATTTATGATTATGTATGGAGTAATGTATATTGCCGGTGATTTTAAAGAAATTCGAGCAGTGGTTGATCTAGAAAATAAATCTTGGGAAACATTAAGAAATCTTTCGTCATTCCAGATATTCAGTCATCGTGGAAAATCTTTAGCATCCACATCCTAGTACACATAGTGAATTTCCTTTTATTATCAGTTTTTATTATCAAATAATTTTTATTATCAAATAAAACATAATATTAATGTAATTATTTACCGAGTAATACACTCTGGATTAACGTATAAAATTGTATAATTTAATTTAAGCATTATTTATTATTTGATCTTAGGTTTATCATATGTGTATAATAAATACAAAAAGACATTATTTTACCTGTGGTAATACAGTATGAATTTTAAATTATATTTAGCAGTAAAGTACAAATAAAATGAATATTAAAATTTTGTTTTTTTTATTCATATATTTATTTTATGCAAAATACCAATAAACGAATAATAAATGTGACTTCATATGAAGATATCACTTTTTCTGTTTCTTTTTTTCAGCTTCAGCTTCTTTTTCTTTTTCAATCTCGGTAACATATTCCCCAATGGTATCTAAATCTAGCATCTGTAGTATAAAGAATATGTAAAAATGAATATTTGAAGAAACAATATAAAAATACTTTGAAGTTTATATACCTGTAGAGGTTGACCGCGTCGCATTACTGCGATTTCTAAATTTTTTCTCCCTGACTGTACAACTTCTAATAAAGCTCTAATAGCCAATTTTATCGTTCCTTTCTCAGTTGCTACTTCTTCCGGTGTGTAATATTTTTGTAAGAATTCATGAACTGTTTTAGCATTTCGACCTGTTGCGTTTGCCTTTAAAAAGACAACAAATACACTTTCTTTCTTTACTTACTTGCAACAAAATGTTTCAATATAAAATATGTACCTTCCACTCATAATAAATGCCTGAAGGTTCTGTTTGATATAAATGTGGAATGCCATCATAATCGAATCCAGCTAAAAGGCATGATATTCCAAAGGGTCTTCTACCATTACTCTGTGTATATTTTTGTTTCAAACCTAAAGGAGCAATCATCACATTTATATTGTGAGTACACACATTTGAAAAATAAACAAGATATGTTTACTTACCTGCAATATACCTAGTTATATATTCCAATGTAACTGGATCTTCCACAGTTAATCTATGACTTTGACATTCAACTTGTGCTCGATTAATTAGTACCCTTGCATCTGCTGTTAAGCCTTAGGGAAGAAGACAAGACATATTAGACTATAACATGTTTTTATACCACATTTAAAAGAGTTATGTATAAGCAAACCTGCAAACGCCATTACAACATGTTCATCTAAGAGACATATTTTACGAACTGTTCGTTCTTCTTGAAGTTTTGCAATGGATTTCTTCTCAACGCCTAAAACGACCACATCGTTACCACGAACGCCAACCTAAAACAAATTAATTTGTTAGAATATTCTTTGTTCAAAAACAATACAAAACGTAAACACCTACAACAATATATACGTTTAAACATTTTTGAATATTATTATACAAAGTTTTATACAAAGAGTGATAATACAGAAAGTTGTTTAACACAAAAGAGGTTAGATAAAACACATCATCTTACCGCAGAAGAACCTTTTCTCACAGCTTCTTGTGCATATTCCACTTGTAGTAAATGCCCATCTGGTGAAAACACCGTGATAGCTCTATCGTACCTTGCTGTCATCTTTCTCGAATTTGCTAAATGTATACCTCACTTACTTTTGCTCACGAAATGACTTCGCCGTTTTTCGAAATGATCGCTACTCATTCAGAGGTTTGATTCCATTTCTTACCGATAGAGGGTAATATATGTCGGAATTCGCGTTTCTTTCTATGTCGAGAGCATTTCCGTAATGTAACGCAACACATAATTGTTACTGTTCGATTTTGCAAAAAATGAAGAAGTTATTTTTTCAGTGAAGGGAAGAGGAAGAGAGGGGGAGAACGATACTGTCAATATGAAAATTGCCGGCTTATCATATAAAATTACGATATTATTTCTTTCACTGGGGAAAATAAGCGGTTTATAAAAATTATCACATTTTAAAAATATCAAGATATCACTTCTAGATTGTTTTGAAATCGATGAAATTAGAAGAAAAATGTATGAGTATCGTGCGTAAGTATCTACTGATGTAACGAATTGCATTCTTAGAAACTCGCACTCTAGAAAACGATAATTGAAAAATAAATAAAAAAGAATATCGAAAAAACGTTAAATAAATGAAATTTTTTAAAAGTAGCATGAGCGTTTTACAGGTTGTAAACGAAGTGAGGATTTAACAAAGATTTATAACGCTAGTGGAACGTCCTGTTTTTTTTGGCGCATTATGAATAGGGGATACAAAACTGGCGGTTTTTACAAAATTGGTAGGTAAAAACGATACGATATTATTTTGAAAATAAATGGAGAAATTACAAGCATTTGGTACTGTGAATGTATAGCATATAGTAGTGGGGATGAATAAATAGAATCTGTATTGTAGCTAGTATAAAAGGCGTCGATCGGCCTGGTGAAACGTTTAGTCAAGGTTGAGAGATCTCTTGTATCGTGTTTATTCACGCAACATGATCGGGTTGGTAAAAATTTGTTTGTTCAGTACACTTTCCCTATCATCCCCAACTAACGATTTCTCCCCAATAAGATCACTTTTACTCAAATTTTCATTGACTTTTTATGTGTAAATCAGTGACGAAACTTCAACGTTGTTCTCGATTTCGATATGTTACGTGCGATGAATGTTGATGATGGTGTAACTTAACAGAGTTTTGATGAATTTAAAAATCATTCTAAAGTGTTGCTCAATTCAAATGTTTATTTCAAATGATTACACAGTGGTGTTCTTTACGCGTCTCTCGCTTTATATCAAAAATTAAGTCGTAATGTATGTAATGAATCTTAGAGATGTTATATTAAACAAAAAGTTTAAGTGTTGAATGTTTACATTTCATATCGAAGCTATATGTCATGTTAATATTTTACTTAAACCTTGGAATGATAATTGCAGTGATAAAACATTTTTTAACATTGTTCATTAAAATCTTTGGAGAGTAATATACATGCAAGTATACAAGTGTACAAGCAAGTATAATTGTACAAATCTCTAATTAAACGTGTTAAATTAACTATTATACACTATGACTATGAAGAAACAAATATGCATAAATAAGACAAATAACGTGTGACGTGTGTGTATCATACCTTGCGTATATCATCATTATCATCACTTCAATGATCTATAGTAGTACCTGTATGATTATACCGTAGTATCCTTTCACATTGTTTGAACGTGCTCATTGATAGCGCATTCAATAATTTGAATAGATAAAGTTAAAATTAGATTAGATAAAGTTAAATGATGCTAATCTTCCGTGCTGTAAGTGTTGAAAATATTTTTTAACATTTGATATTTTTGTTATTATTTTTACTGTTTATTATATTATTTTTTAACATATCGTTATATTATTATTTCATCATAGAGCGCATAGCACGAAATAATTAATAGTCTGGAAAAATTCGATATAAGAAACTTAAAATTAAGAACTTAAAAATTTCATTGTTGATGTTAAAAGAACTTAAAATTAAGAAACTGGGAATTTCATTGTTAATATTATTCTTCGAATTGAGTGTGAAATATGTGCAATCAGATGTAGGTATATAAACACAGATATAGAAGTATATAGACATTACGTTAGCTATGTTAATTATTCATTCGTCAAATTGATTAACTCCAAAAAAAGAATAAAAAAGTTGATAAAAAAAGTGTTTTTTTAAATTCCCTTTTAAAATTCAAACTTAAATATTACGAGCAAATAACTTTTATCTAATGCATAAGATGGTATATCCTTGAAATTACGTCACGTTAAATAAATTAGAGGCGTTTAAGTCTGACTAGCGAGGAAATTTATTTTACGCATAAAATAAATGTTTAACATCGAACAACTGTTTTGACATTAAAACCAAAAGGAAATTAAAAAAAAACGAAAGTTTTAATTACTTTGGCTCGTAAACGATTCAATTTCGCTTTATTCGTTGGATCGGAAGAGATCGAAGTATCGTGCGTCTTCCTTTCGCTCGTTAAATAAAAGAACAAAACGCGATCGGTTTCTATCATTGAGGTTCAGGTACAAAATCATTAGAACCATCAAAAAAATGTTATCATCGAAATATTTTCACCTCGAATTATTTTCGGAGATTAACACGGCAATTCCTTTTCATGCAGACTAAACAAAAAGAAGGTTCTAGTATTTGGGGTGAGCATCGTTATAATTCTAGCTGTGATTCTAACGATAATAATCGTTTTGCTCGTTCCTGATTCAGAAAATGAGAAATCGGAAAGTAGACGCTCGTACTACGGAGTGTATGCAAAGGTAAAGTATGATGTAAGAAGGTACGCTCGCGCGTTGATTTGTTCAACTTGATTACATCTGGCAATATCTCCCTGTTCACTTTCGCTCAGAGAAAGGATTGTCGTTAAACTGGATTTACTGTCGAAACACGAAATAATTCGAAATGTTTTCTGTTTGCAAGGGTGCAGTATCCACGAATGGACAAGAATGCGCTCAGATAGGTGCCGATGTGTTGATGAAAGGTGGTTCGGCTGTCGATGCGGCTATAGCTTCGCTTTTGTGCGAGGGAGTTGCGTCTTTACACAGGTAAATTAAATTTAGATAAATACACATGTATTGTTACTCTTGTTATTTTACGTTGCATTTTTCTTTGAACCGAAGCATGGGACTGGGTGGTGGATTTTTAATGACCATTTGGGATGCGACTACCAAAACCGCCGATTATTTGAATGCACGGGAAGTTGCTCCATCTGACGCGCGGGAAAACATGTTTCAAGGCGATCCTAATTTAGCGATGTTTGGTGGGCTGTCAGATCCTTTTATTATTCTTATTATTAACATTATTATATATATACACTTGCAAACACAGTGTAGATACATTAACTTAATATACGTACGATCCAAAAAAGGTGGCTTAGCAGTTGCTGTACCGGGCGAACTTCTTGGATATTGGGAAGCTCATAAGAAATACGGGAAATTGAATTGGTCTGAATTATTTGAGCCTACTATTTCCTTATGCGTCACTGGATCTCGTGTAAATAAATATTTGGCCTCATATCTGGTCAGTAAAGAGCCATCGATAAAAGCGGAAAGATCATTGGCGGAAATCCTCATAAATCCTAAGACCAATTCGACCTGGAAGGTAAATCTGTTCTCATTTGTCGCACATTTGTTTTCCTTCTTCAATGTTGAAATGTTTCGTTTAGGTTGGCGACAGAATAAAGAGGCCGCGTTTGGCAGAAACATTAAAGTTAATTGCAAAAAATGGACCTGACATATTTTACAATGGAAGCATAGCTGATATTCTAGTGGAAGAAATCAGAGCTTTTAAGGGTATCATCAAAAAGGAGGATTTTCAAAATTACACGTTCGTTCGCACCTTTGATACGTGCATTTAATAAAACATTGCATTTAATAATTTAATAAAAATTAACTGACAAGGAATGTGCAAATGATATACTTGTTACAGAGTAAAATGGATGAAACCGATCAAAACAACGATTGGGGACTTGACGATTTACACTGCACCACCACCGGGTTCAGGAGCGATCCTAACTTTTATTATGAACGTTCTCGACGGCATGGTTCTTAAGCCTGACGATAAAATTATGTGGCAAACTGTGATCGAGACTTTTAAATGGGCTTACGCTAGAAGAACCGAATTGGCTGATCCTGATTTTGTTAATATCAGTGAGTCAGCAATTTATATTACAACGTATAATCGGTATAATACGCAATAAGAGGTATTTTATGATATATCATTTGTACTTTGTTTTAAGATGCCTTAGATAAGAGTACGAGTATGCGATAAGCGGAAATAGAAATAGATTTAAGAGTTTTATATCAGTGGTGTAATATTTATTATTAATTGTATGGTTATTTATTATTTATAATTGTATCTATGACATTTTAGTTGTTAAAGCAAGTGTAGCCTATGATCTTTTAATTTTATTTGAGGTTTTATTTGTTTAAAAAAAAAAAAACATTTTTCTTGTCATGTTTAATTATGACAAACGATAAAATCTTTTCAGCTTCCTTGCTCAGTAATTTAACGTCCATCGACTACGCCAAGATGATTCAAAGTAAAATTAAAATTAATGGAACAAGCAACGATCCGAAATATTACGGCGTTAATATGACTATACCGGAAGATTCAGGGACATCTCACGTTTCTGTCTTGGCTCCAGATGGATCGGCCGTATCAGTCACATCTACAATAAATCAAGTGTATGTTAATCGTGTAAGATTTTTATTTTCAAATACAATTTTCAAAATCACGTATGCACGAAGATTGTAAAAGAAATATTTTTCAATTCTATTATTAATTTAATAGCTTTGGTGCGATGATACGTTCAAACTGGACTGGGATAATTTTCAATGATGAAATGGATGATTTTAGTTCTCCAAATATAACTAATGGATTCGATGTACCACCTTCACCAGCGAATTTTATTCAGCCTGGAAAAAGACCTATGAGTTCTATGAGTCCAACCATTGTTGTAAGTATACTTTATAAGTTAAGGGATGATGTGTTATATATGTATTATTAAATTATATATGTATGATAGTTTACAATGGAAGTATTTTTTTTTTTTTATTTATAAAGGTAGATAAAAATGGAGATGTTCGTTTAGTAATTGGTGCTGCAGGTGGAACTAAAATCACTACTGCAGTTGCAATAGCAATGATATTAAATCTTTGGTCGGGATATAATGTAAACCAAGCTATTGATACATTTAGAATTCACCATCAGGTACAGTTAAATGTCCATACGTTGTTCAATATTTTATATTCTCAATTACTAATAATACGTGTTTGAAACTACAGCTATTACCAATGAATGTTCAAAATGAGAAAGGATTTTCTTCAAACATATTGGATTATTTATCGAGCATCGGACACAATGTTACAACTTACTCAGGAATTGGTAGTGCAATTACAGCTGTTTCTAAACAAAACGGTCATATATTTGCTAGTTCTGATTTTCGCAGAGAAGGAAGAACTGCTGGTTTTTAAGTGATTAATTGAGACGCACCGTTGACATATAAAATATTGTGATTGATTGTGCGACGTGCGTGCACAAATAGTGTAGAAATAATCGGAAAAACTTACGATATGATTATAAAAAAATATTCTTTCCAACTATCTTGCTGTTATATAATATTTTTAAAAGTATCAGTAATATAGATATAACGCTAAAATTTTAAATACATATAACGAAAATAATTTTTAATTGATCTTCCTAAGATTCTGAAGAAATACAGGTATCAAATATATGTTATATAAAAAGTAGATTAATTTTATTACAGATACTAATAGTAAAGTTAATTTTTATACTTTAAAAGAAAGAACTTTCAAAGAACTTTAAAGAGAAGTACTTTCAAAGAAAGAACATAACATGTAAAGTAATAATTTATTTAAGAAAATGTATAAATTCACTTAATTTTTAATAGAAATAATACTCTAAATCATTTGTTTACATCAATCTAATTATTTCATTAATTTATTTTAAATTACATTAAATAATATTATGAACTATTACTGTCACTTTCTGAAAGTTCAGCTTCTTTCTTCACTTTTCTTACATAACGCTTTATTTTTTTCGTTTTATATAATCCTCGTTTTGATTTTCGAATTACTTCGATTGCATGCAATTTATTTTTCAAGGCGTTTGCTTTATCATTTTCTCTTTGTGGTATATATTCATCGACATTTTTCTCGTTACGAATAAAAACTTTAGGTTTAGTGCAATCAATTACAGAGCCATCATTTTTCAATTTTCTTTTCTTTTGGCTTTCGTTCGAAGATTTCTTTTTCTTAATTACTGGTTGTTGTATATTTTCTACATTTGTACTGTCTTCCTCATTTTCATTGTTTTTCGTTAATCTTTGCACAGCCTTCTGAACTCGTTTACTTAAATTCATTTCAATTGATTTCGGAACTGTTTGTAATTTAAAATACGCATTTATTTTAGTTTGGATTTGTTTTTCTTCTAATCTTTTCAATACTGGTGCTATAATTTTATCATACTTATTTTTGTCCCAACCAAATTTCTGTTTTGCATAATCAGCTAAAAGTATAATATTAGGTGTACCCCAAGTGAAAGTCTCCTTTGATTCATCCACTTTAGGCGAAAGATATGCTTGAACGACAGCTTGACTCGGGAAGCCTATAACAACAATATATCTTGTAAACTGTATGTAACGAGAGGAGAAATCGCATATGTACCTTTTTCAATTTTTAAATTTTGTAACTTATTTCGCAAACTTGTTTTTCCAGGGCCAGCGGTTTTACCATTTTCAATCCAAGAACAAAAATTCGTTAAACCTTGCAATAAATTTTCATTTTCTGAAGGGAATGCTGCTAATATTTCTAAAGCAGTAACAGGACCAATGCCAGATAAACCTGTTGTATAATCGCTACCGACCAAGAGGGCAAGCCGTATCATTTCGTTTCTCGTTAATTCTGAGACGGATAAATATTATTTTACAATGTGTTACACGGTTACGTTTCTCTTTTATTAAAAATACAATAGGCTTACTAAAATAATGTTGTATATCACAGGAACGAAATTCAAGAACCTTTTTATCGTTATCAAAAAAATTTTTATAAACGCATTGTCCACCAAACAACCAAATATCTGAATCATCTGTAATCGTACCATCAACAAGATGAATTTGTTCTAAGTATGCGCATTGCGCTTCTGCTTCCATAGGTGCTACAACATACGGTATTCCAAATAATTGTAACAATTCCTATAAATAAGTAATATTGTTAATGTTGTAATGAAGAGATAACAATTAACAATTTATTAAATTTACATCGTGATTTACCTGAGCTTCGATTCGTATTTTCTGAGAAATATTGATACCTTGTCTTTCTAATTTACCAATATTTGCCATTAATTCCGTTTGCTTCTCCTCTAATTCTGCCTACAATTATACTAAAATGCAAAATATTCCAAGAATATTTCAATCATCCGTACATCTTTTGAAGTACTTACTTGTAACGATAGTAATTCGTCTTCGTTCATAGGTATAGGACTTATTCTTTTCGTATGATTAGTCACTTCATTAATACTTGTATTATCTTTGATATTTGCAGCTTCTACAGTATCTTTGAAAGAAAGAGTCATATTTTCGACGTTAGTTTCATTCCTGATTTGACTTTCTTTTAATGGTACATTCGTATTTAAAGTATCCGAATCGACATCGATAAATGGCACAGTGATATCATTAGTCTCTCTTAAATTGAATAATTTGTTATCCTTAACTTGATTTTTTACTGAATCTACTGTTTCTTTGGAAGTTTGTTTGCTTTCTGACATTTCTTGATCATAAAATATTTTCGATGATGGTACAGAATCTGCCTTTAACTCACTATTGTGCGTTTCAAATACATCGGCAAACATATCATCCTCTACTTTTTCATCGGATTTAAAAGTTATTTGAATATTTTGCGAAACATATTTATTGGTAGCAGTAGCTATGTTTGGTAACGGTACATCTTCTATTTCTAAAAAGTCATCTGTGTCCGAGTCCGTTGAACTAACTGTTATTGTATTTTGTGATTCAACTTGTGTCTTATTCGAAATATTTTCTGCTTTAATAGGAGATATGTTTGTGTCAATATTTGATTCAGATAATTTCGATCTTGATGCATCGATTGATTTAACGTTTGTACTATCATGTTCTGTATCCTTTGTATCATTCTCAAATGCTGAAATTAAATGCTCAACATTTAACGAATTACTTTTATTTTCACTCTGTTCTGCTTTAAGTGGCTCGATTTGTCGTGATATTTTCGACACATTTTCATCACTTTTATTAGTTTCTTCTTTATTATTCTCAGATACTGAAATTAAATGCTCAACA